TTTTCTATTTTTACATTTATTTATTTTTGAGAGACAGAGAGAGACTGAGCACAAGTGGGATAGGGGAAGAGAGAGAAGGAGACACTGAATCTGAAGCAGGCTCCAGGCTCTGAGGTGTCAGTAGAGAGCCCAATGCGGGGCTCGAACCCACGGACTAAAAGATCACGACCTGAGCTGAAGTCGGATGTTTAATCGACTGAGCCACCCAGGTGCTCCCCCCACCATTAATTTTTTAAGAAGGAAAGTAATTGGTGTTGACAAAGGAAGTTCAGAGAATTATTTTCTTATCCTCTGGAAAACTTTTTTCCCCAATCACTTCCACATTTTCATATAAAGAAAAGAATGATAAATTGATATGGTAGTAAAAATAAGTAACATTTCAAAGATTGAGCTTTTATCAGTGAAAATCATTTATCTTAACTACCTTCACTAAAAATGAAGAAAGCTCTGGTTTGCAGAGAATTCATGGAGAATGCAATACTTCAAGGAAGAGTATCTTAAAAGTAACCATCCAGTGCAATGTACATGGATGGAGACTAGCTATGGTAGGCAGAATAATGACCTCCCAAAGGTGCCTATACCTTAAACCCTGGAATCTGTGAATATGTTACATCACATGGCAAAGCAGAATTAAGGTGGAATTAAACTTCCTAATCTGTTGATTTTAAAATGGTAAGATTTTCCTGGATTATGTTAGTGGGCCCACTGTAATCATAAGTCCTTCAGTGTAGAAGAGGGAGGCAGGAGGGACTCAGTAAGGACATATAACTATGAAAGAAGTCAGAACAATGTGATGTGAGGTCTCAACCTGCCTTTGAAACTTTGAAAAAGGAAAAGGTCAATAAGCCAAGGAGTGGTGGACCCTAGAACTTACAAAGGTCCAGGACAGAGACCATACCCAGAGACTACAGAGAAAAAAAAAATCACTCCTGCTGACACCTTGATTTTAGCTCAGAGACCTGTTAGACTTACAGAATTGAAAGATAATAAATATGTATTGTTTTACAAAATGAATTTTGTGGGAATTTGCTATAGCTGCAGTAGAAAATGAATACACAAACTAAGATATCGATAATAAAATTCCAAAAGGCATTTGACAAATGTCATGTATAAGGTACCGTGCTTCACATGAAGAACACAATACATGAAATAAAATTCCTGCCACAGAATCACAGAATGGAAAAGTACATAGGAAATTACTGAACTCAACACCATCATTTTATAAATAAGGAAACTAACATAATAAGTTGCATAATAAGTAGAAGACTTAGAAGTTTGAGATTGTTCACTTTTAGTTCAGACTCTTGAATTGTTTTTTAGTTTATCTTTTGGTAAGGGCATAATAGGTGTGCAAAGGTTCACATAACAAAACAGTCTGATAAAAAGAATCAGGTGGGGAATCCATATTTAAGATTTCTCAAGGACTTAATGAGTTTTGAACACCAGCACTGTATTGCTTCCTTATCCTAAATATATAAACAATATAACTCGGCTAGGCTCCTTAATGGCCCTGGGAATATCCACATCCTAATCTCCAGAATTTTAGAATGTTACTTTCAATGACTTTCCAAATGTGATTTAGGTGCAATGTGACAAAGGAAGCAGAAATGTGAGCGATGTGCTTTGACGATGGAGAAAGAGGCCGCAAGTCAAGGAATATGACTATCACCTTAGAACCTCCAAAAAGACTCAGCTTTGCTGACAAGAGTTTAGACCAGTAAAAAGGATTTTGGATTTCTGACCTCCAAAACTGGAAAACAGTAAGTCTGTGCTGTTTTAAGGCAGTAAATTTGTGGTAATTTGTTACAGTGACAATAGGAAACCGATACAAGAGAGACAGAAAAATGTTTAATTGTTAGCAAGCCATATACTATTATATTGCCCTTTTATTTATTTTTTCACAATTTCAATCTTGACAGAAGAGAACAAATACTGCATTTCTGGGTTATTTTCTGTCTACCCCTGATAGTATATATTCCAAGTTTCTACAAATTTTCACCCAAGAAAATCATACATAATTAATGCAAAATGTCCAAAAAATACTTACCTACTCAATTTCTTTAGAATGTGTTGGAGGATGTTAAATAAATTTGAAATCCTATTAAATAGAAGAAATTCATGTAAAGTTAAATGATAAAAAAAAAGGTATTCTTAATAAGTGTAGCTTCTCAGAAAGAGAAACACCCTTACTAACAAAGAATAAAAACATGAAATAATGGAAAACACAGAATGCCAAAGTTATTTGATTAAATTAAAATGTTTACAGAAGTCTTTAGAAGAACTAATCTGCAAAGAGTTTGCCTTTTAGAGAAGAAGGTGGATTAGCTTCCATAGTAACTGAGAGGGATTTTAAATGTGTGATGCCAGAGAAGTCACTGAGTAGTGGCTAAAGTAGATTAGTTAAAGGGAAATGAAATATATTTCTTTAGTATCTTTTCTAGACCTAAATTCACTCCCTCTACTAGTTATTTAAAAATGGGTTTCATTGGGAATGGTGGGGCAGGCAGTGAATAATGTATAGAATACTTTTACTCATGTAAAGAAAAAAAATTACCCCTCAAAAGAAGCAATCCTTATAAAAGAAGTGGACATTTTTGAGAACAAGCAGAGAATTCAAGATTGAATCTGAAACCCTTCAAAAACTGTGTCAAGCCCCAAAGCGGGAAACAGTCTAAGTCAGGACAGTTCTCATCCTACTGGCAAATCAAACATCTTCACTATCAAGGCTGTCACTCTAGCTCCGCTGTGTGCTCTGGAGCAAGTCACTCCAAGCCCCAGCTTCCTCACACGTAAAATGGTTTTCATACTACCACCAGTCCTTCCTAGAAAGCTGGGACATATAAATTAGACCATGTTCGTAAGTTATTTTCCTTTGCATTTAGGTACGTACATTCCTGAGCACAGTAAACTCCTTTCAATCTGATGTACAGTCATCCAGGGTACAGGGGAAACTTTTAGAAGTCAGGATGTCTAAATGAAGGTATAGAATCCTTAGAGCTAAGAGTCTAGGAATGTACTCTTCTTTTTTTATCCCTGAAAAGGGGTGACATGTGCTTGCGTGCACCTCCCAGATGCTGGGCTACTACTCTTGCTCTAGCCTCCTCTGTCTGAAGTAGAAAGACTGGTGCCACTGGTATTCTATTTAATTTGAAAATGCAGATGATTAATATAGATGGATCACAAACTAGGTTAGGGGAAGCCTCAATGTATAAAAGGATTAAAAGTCTTGAAAAGAAATGATTTAAACTTAACCAATATTAGAGATAAAAATCAGTGATCATATTAACAAGTTGTTAAAATCCCACCACAAAGTAAACTTTCTTACTTGAGTGCTGAGAGTTTTTCTTTTAATTCTTCTGAGGTAATTTCTTCTAGCAGAAAAAGTTTTGAAGTAAATGCATCAATATGGCCTAAAATAAAATATCAATTAAAAAAGAACAATTGTGGTATTGAAAAACAAAAAAAGTTATCCAGTCTCCTCAAATATGTTTTTACAAAACTGTAACAACTGTAAAGAAACCTTCCATTCTAAAAAGAGAATTATACATTTTATTATTAAGTAAAGCTGCATTTTAAAATGACACAAAAGTCAGATTATAAAAAAACCCCACATATTAGTTCTAAAGTATTTGCCGAATATAGAGAAGTTTACACATATGCACACCAAAAAATAACCTCTAAGACCCAAATTTAAGAATAATAACTGATAAGGGGTGCCTGGGTGGCTCAGTTAGTTGGTTAAGCATCTGATTCTTGATTTCAGCTCAGGTCATGATCTCACGGTTCATGAGACTGAGCTCTGCGTCAGGCTCTGTGCTGAGAGTGTGGAGTCTGCTTGGGATTCTCTGCCTCCATCTGTCTCTGCCCCTCACCCACTTGCACAAAGCCACTTTTTCTCTCCAAATAAATAAACATTAAAAAAACCCAACTGTTAAAATGTTGGTGTTTCTATTTCCTATTAGTTAAAGGTGCATTTCATAGAGATTAAATTTTTAGAGAAATATGTACCTATTATCAAAGCAAGTGGATGGTCAGATTTATAGTTTGGGTATGCTCTCACATCTCTAACACACACCTGGTTATTAAGATAAAAATTAGATTATAAAAATCCAGTTTAATTATTTACAATAGCCAAGATATGGAAACAACCTAAGCATACATCAACAGATGAATGGATAAAAATGTAGTATATATAAAAAAATGGAATATTACTCAGCCATGAGAAAGAAGGAAAGTCTGCTGTTTACAATATAGACAGACTAAAGGGCATTATGCTAAGGAAAATACAACAGAGGAAAAAATATTATGTGGAGTCTAAAAATAAAAGTCAAACTCATAGAAAGAGAGTAAGAAAGTGGTTTCTAGAGGCTGGGGGAGGAATAGAGAGAGGTGGTAAAATGGTACAAACTTTCAGCCATACTGTCTGAAAATCTAATATATAATGTGTAATGTGGTGATTATAGATGATGAGACTATATTGTATGATCAAAATTTGCTAAGAGAGTAGAACTTAAATGTAATCATCAAAGAAAAGAAAAAACATAAATATGTGAAGATGGAGTTAATTAACTGGATGGGAATTGTCCTTTCACAATGTACATGTGTATCAAATCATCATGATGTACACTTTAAACACCTTACAGCTTGACTTGTCAATCATACTGCAATAAAGCTAAAAAAATCTGGCTATTAAAGCACACCATAAGATTTCCCATGATTAAAAAAAAAGTGTGCTTAAGATCTTACTTTCTTACAAACATTCTATTCCAGAATTCTATGAAACAAAGTAGCAAAAGAAGAAACTTCCATTTTAAAAAGGAACGTGTATGTTCTACAACAAAATAAGTTGAGACAGGACACTTAAGGTTTTGAAATGTACCAAGGAAGGATGATATAAAAGATAGTCCTGAGTTAAATGTACATAATCAAGTCAATACAAAAACCCTGCTATTGTACCAGAGTTAAAAACAACAATTAGTATGACGTGTAACACTCATCAATGCTGAAAATACCATGTTTTGTTTTTATTTTTTAATTTGCAATATTTAGTTATCAAAACACATTACCCAGAAGCTGATGTCAATCATCGGGACAATAAAAAATGCACATGTCATTTTTATATATAGCCCCCTTTCATTTGCTTTGTGCTCATAAAAAGAATTAGAAACATTTTACCAGATGCTTTTCCTTAAAACAATGAATCCATTTTTCCCACTTCCACTTGTTATTCCCTATGCCAAGTTTTAGTTTCACCTCTGCATTTCTAACACTCATTATACAGTGGCATTTCTAATAACAGAGATACACTTTAATGTTTTACTTACTGTAGAAAGGGAATCTTAAATATAATATATTCAAACATTTACTAAATACACCTTTGAGGAGATTAACAAGTCTTATCTTCAAGATAAGTAAATCTCAGTAAAAATTATGTGTTATAGTACATGTCAAATATGGTCAAAGAAGACTATATAGAGAATGCCATTCTAAGTGCCACATGGCCTACTTCCTCAAGGAGTTTAAAATCCTTTCAATATAAGAGCATTTTCCCCTGCAGGCCTCAAATGACTCATATGTGTACTTGAGATATTCATCTCCTCATCCCTTGGGGCAGCGGAGGAAGGCTTGGGATGGAAAGTTTCTTGGCCGCTGCCCGGCAGCCATGAGCAATCACTTTTGTACATCACAGTGTGCTATCCAAGTATTGTTTGTGTGTCAAGGTTGGGGAAACACTGCTTTACAGAGTACAAATAAAGCCTTTATATAATACAAATAAAGGCTTTATATACATGTATCAAACCATACATATACACAAACACACCTATACGTGCATACATACATACACACAGGCAGTCCTGCTTTGCATGCAGTATGGGATGATATAAAAAACCATACAAACTGAAACCAAGCAAGCAATTTTAATTATCAGGGGAAAAATTACAGATGTTCCATAACCATTAAAATTTTTTGTCAAAACATTATGAATTCTCGATCAATTGTAAATGTATATAGGGAAATGAAAAAGATAGTAAAGCTAGTGTTTATTTGTATACTGGAATTTACTGGAATTTAAAACATTAAAAACACTGAAGATTCTTTTATTTATAGGAAACTTATCAAGAGCAGTTTGAACACTGCTTGCTTGCCACTTTCTTTTGGTACAACTTATGATAGAAAGCACGTATCTCTTCTATGCCGTGAACTGTCATATTCCTTTCTAAGTGAGGATCAGCTTCCAACATGGTATCTTCTGTGCTTTCAATGTCAGGAAACATCCCCAAGAGTTTCTTTATGTAAAATCTTATGCTGGTGTCACTTTTTCATCCTTCATATCAAAACCACTTTCCTCATTTATGTCCGCAAGTTAGCCTCCGCTACGTTCCTGCAGCGACATATCTGTGGTCTCTTGAACGGCAGCAGCGCCGACACTGCCATGGTCGGCTATTTCTCCTGCAACTCCACTTATGTTCAATTCGGACTGCACTTCCAGCAGTATCACTGTTTATTTCTGGGCTGTGCTTTAATCACTGTTGGCCAACTCTCTCTTTGATTATCCACTTGAGTAAAATGTCATGAGTTTATCACTGGGAGACAAGGAAGGAACACAACGACACACTTTGTTTTCTGTGTATGAACTCAGACACAGGTACACAGTGACTACTGACAGACTTTGGAAAACGTGAAATCACCAGTCACCAGTCATGCTGTGGATCTGTGTGGACTGGAGAGTCAGCAGGGGAGTATGTACTTTACATAATTAGTTACAGTAAATATACCATAGTAACTGAAACTGGTGTATCTTAGAATTGTGCAAAGCCAGGCCTGCCTTTTGTCAATTATATAGAATTGATATATATAAAGGATTTGAAGTTGTGATAAGATTATTTCAGGAATTTTCTTTAAGGACTATCTCTTAATGTTTTTATGGGGCTTGAGGATAAAAAGAATAATCCAGTTGAGGGGAAGAGAATATGTTCATGGTACAGCAAAGCAGACAAACATTTAAAAAAAAAAAGTACATTTATTCTACCTGAAAAAGAGACTGAGCTACAGTAGTGGTTCTCAAGGTACAGTCCCCATACCAGCAGCATCAGCAGCACCTGAGACCATGCTAGAAATGTCTGAGGTCCCCTTCCAGACCTACTAAATCAGAAACTGTAGGGTCAGAGCCAGAAATCTCTACTCTCATAAGCCATAACAGTGATTCTGAGGAATAGTCAAATCTGAAAATCACTCAACTCCTGTCCTACAAACCAAGGCGCTCTTCAGTTAAAGAAAGTAACTCAGATCTTATATCACTGTCTTGTAAGGTTAAGTTTTATCTGAATTGCTCAATCATGCAGATAAAACTCTACCCTCACTTTTTTCTCCAAAAATCTAATGTACCATTCCTCAATTTTGATTTCTGAGGAGAAATCTTAAATTTCCTCGAAATCTTGAGATTGCAGGGTTGGATGGGGGAAAAATGACAACAAAATGCTTAAGTTAATTAGAGGAGTGGCTAGCAATGGTCTAAAGGAAAACTCAGGCCACATTTGAGAAAGGACTGTGGTGCGTGAGTGCATGGGAAAGAGAATATGAGCATTTGGAAGGTTTCTAACCAAGACTTTAAGAATCCAGTTTCTAAAACACAGTAAAATCAGTTGTGTTAATTTATACTGATTAATATAGTCACACAAAATATTTCACTTTTGTTACATCTAACACCTACACCCCCTTCCCCCATTTCTTTCCTAGCCCTTTTTAATTTTTTGCTAAAGTTATTAACACTTAAAAACTGAATGAATTCTGGTCCTGCCAACTGATAAACTCTGTATCTATGAACAAGCTACTTAATTATTCTGAACTTTACTTTTCTCTTATGCTTATAGCAGTGGTCTATACACATCAAAAACTGTTCATTAATAGCTCTTAAAACAGACCAAAATTTTTTCTGAAAAGTTAAAATAATATACAATGTATGATTATGCTTTGTTTTGAGAAATCTTGGTTTAATGATGTGTGATACAACTATGTGAAGGATGTTTTAAAAGTTCAATTCATTTTACTACAGGTTTTAATGGCTGTGATAGCTAAAAAAAAAGATACAATGATACAAAGATCTAAATGCAATAAATGGCTCAGTGTAGAGTGATACTGCTTGTCTTTAACACCATATACCAATTGCACAAAAGTTTTTGTCTGATTTCTACTAGTAAAAGTCCATCTTCCCTGTTCTTAATCAGTTTTTTTTTTTTTAATCAGTTTTTCTTACAAACATTATGATAGGGTCTGCATTCCTGTACTTGAGGCTCTCTGGAAGATTTTAAAAGAGATTATTTTTTTTCTAATCTGATTCCAAGTTTTTAAAGTATAAAGATATATAAGTGTTTTATTTGTTTTTGTTTAAAATAAGTGACAACTCAGGGTGCCCGGGTGGCTCAGTCAGTTAAGCAATCAACTCTTGATTTTGGCTCAGGTAATGATCTCACTGTTCATGGGTTTGAGCCCTGCATTGGACTCTGCACTCACCATGGAACTTGCCTGGGATTTTCTCTCTTTCTCTCTCTGCCTAACCCCTGCTCTCTCTCAAAATAAATAAACATTAAAAAAAAAGTAACATCTTTCATTTTTGGCAACAAAATCATACTTAACATACCCATGGATACTGTATGGCACAACTCTGAGGGTAGCTGTTCACAAGGAAGGGATTGAACAAAGTGGCTCTCTAGAAGTGTGCTATGTGGAGATAATGAAGATACTATATGTGACCGGACTGTATGACAACATAAAGTATCACTTATCAATCCACATATCTATTAATATGAGTAATGCTTAATTTGTATTTAGAAAACAGATAAATAAGAGCTATAATATTCTCTTCCTATAATATTCTCATCCCAGTGGTTTATCTTATGCCCATCTAGGGACAGTAAAAAGAACAAAGGATACAAATTCAATGGTTTATTTTCTACCATTTCTATTTCCATTGACTTTTGCTGTTACTTCAACCAGTAATAAAGGCAACTTCATTCAATCTAAACATAATTGAGGATCTCCATGTGCCAGATACTGCTATAGGAGCTTGAGATATGATCAATAAACACGAAGCTCAAAGACAGGCAACTGATATAATTAAAGTACAAGGTTTATTAGTGGCAAGGAGGAAAAGGGATTGGGAATAGATTTGTGGGTAAGGAGTAAATGAAGCCAACAACCAGAAGAAGAAAGAAACCTAGAGATGAGAGCCTGGCCTTTGTGGTTGCTTTTCTCTGGAAAAAGCAATGAAAGGCTAAGAAATGAACCAGAGCTTTCCACAGTCTCTCAGGATTAAAGGAACAACAAGTGGATTTCAGGATCTATCAATGAATTGAACACCTAAACTCCCGAGTTGGGATCATGTGTAAAAAGGGGTCTCCGGGTGTGGAGATTCTTTAAAAGAACTCATTGGATTTAGCATATAGCTGTACACATGGATAAGACTTACTACAGCAAAAGGATACAAAGCCAAAAAAAAAAAAAGAGCAAAAGTAAAAGGTGTATGGAGTGAGGTCCAGAAGAAACCAGTTGAAATCTTTGAGTCTCTCCCGAGTTTCTGTTTGCGGATGATGAAAAAATTCTGGAAGTGGACAGTGGTTGATGGCTGCACAACACAGTGAATGTACTTCATACCACTGAATTGTACACTAAAAATGTATTCTGAATTGTACACTATGATGGTTAAGAGGTAAATTCCAAGTTATTCCAGAATATGTATATTTACCACAATTAAAAGTTAAAAAAAAAAGAATCTCTTCCTACTGAAGTCACATAGGGTGCACCTTAATTCTTCCAGCAACAAGTTTTGTTTTTTTTTGTATATTGGAAAAGCTCATTAGAGACTCAGCATTCAAGGTTTTTATTGGGGGGAGGGTTCATAATGTAGGTGCCCTCTGCCTAGGATATACCAAAATTCAACTCTCAAAGGAAAGCAGATGTTCAGAATAAGCCATATTGTTTGTACAATGTGTGTACTATAACCTATTCTTATTAGCTAGAGAAAGTCTTCTGTCAGTATAGGGAATGGTTTACTAGCTAAGTTCCCAGGTATCAGCTAAGGGCCAGCCTTGCAAGCAGGTCTTTCCAATGATTGGTAGTGTCAGTCCTGCTACTTCAACTCTTACCTGCACAGACCCTGAATAGCAATACCCTATTGGTATTAAAGTCAAGCTTTAAACGGTCTAAATCCCTATAACTGAATTAGGGTAGATTGCAAGTATCTTGTCTAGAGGCATCTGGGTGGCTCTGTCTGTTGAGTGTCTGACTCTTGATTTTAGCTCAGGTCATGATCCCAGGGTCGTGGGATCAAGCCTTGTGCTGGGCTCCATGGTGAGTGTGGAGCTTGCTTGAGATTCTCGATCTCTCTCTCTCTCTCTCCCCACTCCCTCTCCTTCTCTCTCTCTTTTTTTCCCCTCTCTCCAACTCATATGTTCTCTCAAATTAAAAAAAATGGAAAAAAATGTAATCTTGTCTAGAGGAAGATACATTTTAGCTTTCTCATTCTCTCTACATTTTTTCATATATAATAGCTGGCCCTTGATAAAGAAGAGGTTGGCATACAATGAAACAACATGAAGGAAGGGAAGGGGAGGGGAGGGGAGGGGAGGGGAGGGGAGGGGAGGGAATTGTGAGATGAATTGTGTCCCCTGCAAAAGATATGCTGAAGCCCTAATCCACAAGACCTTCCTTGGAAACAGGATCATAGTAGATATAATTAAAGATTAAGATGAGGTCATACTAAGATGAGTAGGGCAGGCCTGTAATCCAAATGACTGATGTCCATATAAGAAGACGAGACACAGAGGAAGAAGATGACACTTGATGAGAGAAACAAGAGACGAGGGTGATGCATCTACAATCCAAAGATGCCGACAACTGCTGGCAAAACCAGATGATAGAAAAGGCATTCTATCTTCCGAGGGATTCTCTCCTACAGGTTTCAGAGGGAACATGGCTCAGTGCCACCTTGATTTTGGATTTCTAGCCTCCTGAACTGAGAAACAAGAAATGTCTGTGTTTTAAGCCACTTAGTTTGTGGTACTTTGTTACAGCAGTCCTAGGAAACGAATACACAAAAAATAATAGAAAAGATACACAGGAAATCTAGAAAACAGAGGTACTGGATGCAGACTTTAAAATAATTTTGCCTAAAATGATAAAGGAAAGATTGAGAATTTCTATAGAAAACTATAATCTGTAAAAAAAAAAAAAAAAAAAGAACCAAAAGCAGGGGCACCTGAGTACCTCAGTCAGTGGAGTGTGTGACTCTTGATTTTCGCTCAGGTTATGATCTTGGGTCATGAGACTGAACCCCATGTTGGGCTCCACACTGAGTGTATAAACTGCTTAAGAGTCCCTCTGCCTTCCTCTGCCCCCTCCCCTGCTCAGGCACAAGCTCTCTCTCCCTCTCTCTCAAAAAAAAAGAACCAAATGGAAAATCTAAAACTGAAGAATACACTAACTGAAATTAAGGACTCAAGTAATGGGTTAAACAGTGTATTAGGGACAGGTGAAGAGGGAATTAATGAACTAGAAAAAAGTATCAAACATGATGCATGAAGAGTCA